GCTCGCNGNGCGCGTGCGNGNGNGAGGGGGGGGGGGCGACGGGGCAAGGAAAACGAAGCGCGCAAGTCGTCCGCGGACGATGGATGTCAATCTAAGGCCTCTCGAGGGGCAGACGATACCGCAGTCCCGTTCCGTGGCCGTCGCTGGCAGCACTCACGATGAGCTCGTCATAAGGCCCCGCGGGCGAGTCGGTGTAACGGTAGAGGATCCAGGCTCCCAGCCCGCCCTTGAACTCGCCGTGGTCCTTTGCGACGTGGGCGCTGGCGAGCGCCTCGAGCGGGTGAAACGAGCCGGGCGGAAGGCCGAGCTGCCGCGCTACCTCGGCGCCGTCGCTCTCCTGTGCCGTCTGTCGCTTTGCGGCCTGATGCTGCCGCTTCGTCGAGCTCGAGGTCCAGAAGGGAAACAGCCAGCTCTCGGCTGTCAGCGTCCACGGCCTGGTCGAGTCGGTGTCGAGAGGGGGCGACGATCAGCGGACATCTCGGCGCTGCCCCTGACGCTGCGCAAGCAACACGGCAACACGTACGGCGGTGCGGTGGGCACATCAGAGGGCGGTGCGGCGTCCGGCATGGCTGCAGAGGATCGACGAGGAGCAGAAAGGCGGCGTACGTGGTGGTCGGGTCGCAAGCTTCAGGCGCTCCCACGGTGGGGGGTCAAGGAAGCTTAAGCTTGGGACAGGGCCGCTCACTACTGGACCCTGCCGGGCCCCCACCGTCAGTCTCTGGCACGCGATGCCGCACAGCACAGACCACAAGGGGCGTGAAAGCATGTCGCACCTCCTGCGTTCCATGATAGGGCCGGCGGCCCGCCGCGCCGTCAGCGTCGCGCAAAGAGGCGAGCCACTTTGCTGGCGCTAAGGCGCCTGCGCCATGCTACTGTCCAGCCCACGCCGCCCTCTGCCACCGTCCGCCAGACGACGCTGCCACCCGCGACCCTCGTTGTCTACCATCTACAAGCTGCTCACACCTGGTCTGCATCTCTCGCCGTCTCTCGTTTGGCGCCGCGCCACGCCGCACCCGACGTCTCCCCTCACTCGTGCCGCAGCACCGCCCGAATCTCCTTGACGACCTCCTCGGGCGCCTCCTCGGGCACATAGTGGCCCGTCTCGACCGGCCGGGCCTGAACCGGATGCTCGCACCTCTGCTGCCACAGGTCGACGGCCCCGCCGTACAACAGCTCAATCACGCCGCTGCTGCCCCACAGCAGGTGCAGCGGCTGCGGCACCTTTCTGCCCGCCGCGCGGTCCTCTTCGTCGGCCACGGCATCCTCGCCGCCGGGCGCGCTCGCACGGTAGTCTTCGCACATGGCCGCCGCCGAGTCCATGGTGGCAATGTTGCCACGGTACGCGGCCACGGCGGTCGGGTGGAACACGTCGTCCTTGGCCGCCGCCGCCGCCGCCGCAGCAGCCGCAGCCACCTTGGCCGACGCGTCCGAGGAGCCGCGGCCGATGTTGGTCAGGCGGCCCAGGTACGCCTCGGGCGCGCTCACGAGGAACGTCTCGGGGATCGGCGCGGGCTGCGCGAGGAAGTACCAGTGCCAGTACAGCATCCCGAACCGCGAGTCGCCCAGGCGGTACATGTCGACCGTCGGCGCAATATCGATAAAGACGGCAGAGCGGACCACCGACGCGCCGTGGTCGACCAGCATCCGGTGCCCGATCCGCGCTCCTCGGTCGTGCCCGGCGACGTAGAAGCTCTGATGGCCAAAGTGGCGCCTGCGGGAGAGGGGCCAGGGAGCGTCCAGCAGGGAGAAGACGGGCGGACGAGGAGCAGTCAGTCGCTGACAGCGGGCGGCCCAGCTCGACGGGCGTGCGTCAGGGCGATCGGTGAAGAAGCAAGCACCACGACGGACCGAGAGGGGTCCATGAAAGGGGCGTCGAGGGACATCGCTGGGGGTGCCCGCCTCGGAGCCCATCCGCAGGCCTCGATTGCTTCGCCCCTGTGCCCGCCCTCAGCACGAGGCACCTCTCTGCAGCTGCGCACCGCGATCCCTCGCGAGGCATCTCTCTGCAGCCGCGCACCGCGATCGACTGGGACCACGACTGCGAGCGACCGGATCGACTTACATGACGGCGACGAGGTCGTCTGCGCATCTGCGCTTTGTGTAGTTGGAGCGGCCCTGTGCGTCGCGGATGGCCGGCTTCGAGCTCTGGCCCATGCCGCGGGTATCGACGACGACGAGCTCGCACTCGGGCTCCTGCTCGACGAGCTGCGCCGCCACCCGGTGCCAGATGTGGTGCGTCTGCGGGTGGCCGTGGATAAGCAGCAGCGCCTTGCCCGCCGTCGCGCCGTCCTTGCTCGTCGCAGGCACCCGACGTCGGCAGAAGATCTCGATGGGCTCGGCGGCCGCATCGCCTGCGCCGCTCGACGGCACAGAGACACGGTGCGTCTCGAAGTTTGGAAAGAGGTCGGCCATGGTCTCGTATCGAGACGGCGGCTGTGTCGGCGGGCGGTCGGCGGCGGGCGGCCGTACTGTCGGGTGAAGATCGGAAAGAGCAGCAGAGAGAGGACGATAGGGCGCGGCAAAGTGTCGAGACGAGACGGCGGAGCAAGCAAAGAGAGAGACGGCAAGCTGAAGCGCGGAGCGAGGGTAGGCGAGCCGGATCGATGGGCAGAAAGCGAAGGATCGCACAGTCGAGCGACGCACGGACATCGCTCGCCTCTTCCCCGCACTCTGCCGGGCCGGTCAGTTGCCGATCCCCACCCGCGTGCAAAACAGGGCATCCGCTTGTAAGGCCTTATATATACAACATTTCGTCCCGCTTACATCAGCGGGTCCAATCGTATAGTGGCTTATTATGCTGTCTTAGGGTTCGGACGTTTCTAAAAACGCAGAAACTGTATGACAGAGGTCCTGGGTTCGATTCCCAGTTGGACCCCAACTTTTTCCCAGGCAATCTTTCACGCAGAACCACAGAGTCCAAGGTCCCGCGTTCGATTCTGGGTTGGACCCATTGTTTTAACCATTCTTTTTGTAACTTGTGCTTGCTAAGTGCCGTTTTGCTATGCACCTGCGCTTGTTGCCAGATATGATATCAGAACATCCTCAGAGGCTGTTGTGTGCTTGGCTGTTTCACACTTAGACCAATTGCTTTGATGGCTGTCAAAATGCACCTTGGCCTGCCACCTGCAGGGAAGCGCAAGCCCTGAGATGAGACTTATGGGCAAGAGGCAGGGTTAAAACTACCCGTTGAAACCCAGCCCTGCTCTTGCTGCTCTTCTTTTGGCAGCTTACTCATGTTCATTCTTTGACCATGAGCAGGAGCAGAATCTGCTCCCAGATGTCTGAGCTAGGCTGGCAGGCAGTTTTGCCCTGTTCCACCCTGAATTTCCACCTGGCCAGGCTGCAGTCCTGGCCCATCCTGGTGGCCTGGGCAGGGCCGGGAAGGGCCAGGCTCCTGGGCCTGCTGAGCAGGTCAGGGTGCCTTCCAGGCCTCCTGCTAGGGTCAGGGGCAAGGTATGATTTTTGAGGGAATTTTGACCCCCCTTTTTTGCACCCCTGCCAGCAGTTTTTGGCCTGGCAAGGCACCATTGCTGGCAGGTAAAATCCTGCAAAAAGGTCAGGGATGGGCACCTGGCCCAGGGCTACACCATACCCTAAGATGGGCCTGATCTGCTCCCAGATGGCTCTGAGTCGGAGA